GAAAGTCGAAGCACATAGATGATGCTCTCTTCTCAAAGCTGACCCCATGCGGCTCACATCCTCCGCGACTCTATGGTTTGCCAAAAGTGCACAAAACAAACGTTCCGATGCGACCAATAGTGGATATGTCTACTTCAGCTTTTCACTCTGTCGCAAAGTGGATAACAGAGTTGCTGGAACCGGTTCGAAAAGAGTTGTCGATTCATACGGTCAAAGACACGTTTGATTTTGTCAACCGAATAGAAAACCTAAACGTGAAGGATAAATTAATGCTTTCCTTTGACGTAGAATCACTTTTCACGAACGTGCCGTTGGTAGAGACTGTGACATTCATTTGTGCTTTCATCACTGAGAGAAACATTGATGTTGGAATTCCGGTGAATAAATTAAAAGAATTGATTCTGCGTTGCACCTTCAACGTACAATTTCTGTTTGATGGAATCTATTATAGACAGATAGATGGAGTCGCAATGGGTTCTCTCCTAGGCCCACTTTTGGCCGACATTTTCCTTTCAAAGCTTGAACGTGGAGACCTGAACACCCTTATATCTTCATTTGATTTATACTACCGTTACATGGACGACACTTTCATTGTTTGTGACTCTTCCATCGATTACCTAACCCTATTAGATCAGTTTAACAGAGTGCATCCATCATTAAAATTCACCAGTGAAGTTGAGCAGGATGGCCGCTTGGCGTTCTTAGACGTTCTATTGCATCGGCGTGAAGACGGGACTATCAAAAGGAGTGTTTTTCGCAAAGCGACGTGGGTAGGTCAATACACCCACTTTCTTAGCTTTGTGCCGCTGAGATACAAGAGGAATTTAGTCCGTTGCTTATACCATCGTGCCAGAGCAATCTGCAGTCCAGAGACGCTTGAAAGCGAAAACAAGCTCATCTTTAACACGCTGCAAGAAAATGGATACCCCATACCTTTCATCAAAAAGCATTCCAAACAGCTTGTGGCTGTCAAATGTGTCGCTACAGTTCCCAAAAAGGATGTATTCCTTACAGTTCCCTTTAAAGGTGACGTCACGTTCGAACTGTTGAATAGAAAAATCTCGACCGCATTGACCAAGACATTTCCAGCCGCCAACCTAAAACTACATGCCGAAACAAGACCATTGATTCTTCAGCGCTTAAAGGATAAACTCCCGGTTCGGTCCGAATCGTTTGTCTTATACCAGTTCACCTGCGCCTGTGGTGCTAGGTATCTTGGACATACGACCAGGTGTTTGTCCAAAAGAATCGCTGAGCATTGTCCTGCGTCACTGCGAAAGGCACGGTAAAATCCATCAACAGTTCTGTATTACAACACTTGGTCGACACTGGACACCAAGTCCAGACAAACCAGTCGTTTCGAGTCGTTTATACTATCCCTAAATGATTTCAACATGTTCCGTGGCGTTAATTCTTAATGAGCTCATGGAAGGACATCAAGCGTCGACAACCTCAAGGTAGGCAAGTGACGATTTTAACATCTTTGTCAACAAAAATTGATGAAAAGTAGTAAAATCCGTCTGCGGATAATGCAACCGGGTAAATAGAATAATTTGCTGGGACTACATAAAATTTAGCAAGCGATTTTTCTTATTTCTGCTAAAGTTTATTTCAAACATCTAAAATCACTGTATTACGATGAGAAAACTTTTCCTGGTTGTGGAATAATCCAACATGAAAAAGGAACGGACTAGTTGCAACACTCTCTGGCACGGTGATAGTGAAATCTCTGCGAAATATGCAGTATCCGGCGAATGTCAGGATGTCTGCGAATGACCCAAATGTAAAAGAAAAGACCGACCTAAATAACCTCGAGGAATACATACTGGTTTATAGACTGGTAGCTCAGGTTGTTCAGAAGACGGTTGAACTGTTCACTGTGCTTGGCAATCGTGTTGCAAACGTTTCGTCACCAATCGAGGTGACATCATCAGTGCGTAGTTGAGTGGCTTTCAGCATCGTAGCGTAGAGAAGCCTCGGTGAGAGTGCGCTCTCACCGAGTGCTGTAAAGCTAGTCTCCCCACCTTTTTGAGAGAATGACCCTTTGTTATGGTTTGTGCATTTAGCTTCCACTGTTTACAATTGTATACTTCATAACTTATGTTAGCTTTACGGTACTCGGTGTGAATGCACTCTCACCGAGGCTCTTCTACGCTACTGCACGCCACTCAACTACGCCCTGATGATGCAACAAAATTGCAACATTCCGCGAACAGTTCAACCGCCATACTGGATTATCATATGAAACCCAAAAAGTATAGTGTAGCCCAATACCCACAGTGATCACAACTTACGACATGGCGTGCCTGAAAACTGCTTTTTCCAGACCTATTTAAACACATTCTGTAAGATTCTTAAGAAGCGTGTTGCGAGCTTCGACAGTATTGTTATATTACATGTGGTTTCTGAGGTGAATCTTATTCCTAATTAAGATACGAGGGTTTATGGTTAATTATATGCAGATAAGAATGGGAGGAAAACAGGAAAATTTGTCGAAGTGTCCATTTAGCTAAGACTTCCATAGGTAGTGCCTGGACGGCCAAGGATCCATAGAGTTGGGTCTGGTGGATTATTCAACCTCGTTTTTGTTTTGGACATGAGCTTGAGATTCAGTGCCTTCGGCGACCAGAGTTATCTATCCCCGTTTCGGTGTACTTTGTCCGTGGTGATTTCTACCAGCGTGCTCTCTTGTTGTTAACTTTCCGATAGTTGGCTTCACTAGTCATCCCAAACATTAGGGCGTTCTCCACTCCCCTTGCTTATTTAGCTGGGCTACCACTTCTAGTGGTGTTGTTCCCTGAAATCTTAACTTGTTAAACATACCCGAAATGCACGAGATCCCATGTTCCCTAATGTGGACTGTGTCTGGGCCATCTGAGCAAAACGCTCGCCATCCACCCCCCCCCCTTACATCCTCATCATGTTCACTAACCCTCAGCGCATAGTGTATATTGCAAAGCTGCGTCATTCCGTTAGACATCAAAAGAGCCCTTTACATTGCTGGGGCGTCGCAGTCAGCTTGTCCCAACGTTGCGTTCCAAAACACTGCCATCATCCTTCCAGTAAATCCGTCTCCAAAACGTCATCGATAACAATGTGGCAAACCTTTTTGACAGCACGAGTCTGGCGCGCATTGCTGATTCATTGTCTCTAAGTCTGAAGACTTAGTCAACACACGCGCACCAATGCGTACTTGTTCAAGTTTGCGGCTTCTTCCATCCCCCAACTCTCTTGCTTCTGAACTTGTAAAAAAAATATAGAGGCGGAATTTTTGCCCATATGCCATACATCATCATCGATACACGTTAGCAGGAGTGAGAAGCACACCTCGGCTAATGTGCCTCAGTACAAAAAGTAAGCCATTAAACAATGTACACTTAAAAGTAATGTAGTAAACGTAATGTAAAAAAGTAATGTAGTATCACATTTTTGATGGTGGTTGAAGGAGGATGCTATAGGGAATGGGAGGGACAAAGATACTCATAACACGAACGCCGCCGGGGTCGACTCTTCAACATGTCATTATTGTTTCCAACCAAACGTGTTCATCATCCTTCAGTCCCTGGCCAGGCAGTCGGCAAATACCAACCGACTCCAACTTCGAAGCGAGGGGGTTTATCCCTCTCGACCAAGTCATCGCTTGGCCTCCTCTTCCTCCATCCACACCCCCGGCGCGCAAGTAACGCACTTCGCGGGAATCGATGGGCTATATAAATGTCATCGTCTCCAAGGTTTCCCACGACAGTTTCGGTGGTGTTTTCACCCGCAATAAAACCGACGCCCTGTGTTTATTTTGTTATACACTATCACGTTTAGTTGGGAAAATATCTCGCCTTAGAACAGTGGACAATACTAGATTTACGTCTTCTCATACTCTGCTCCCCGTTCTTTCCTCCCTTCTACTTCTAGCTCGGATCTCCTCTGAATGACACTACTGGCCATTCGTCTGATCGGCTGGGTGTCTCTGGCGCTGAAGATATCGCACCCGAACTGCGGGATCGTTTATCTCGGTTGGACATGGGCGAGCCACCTTTGAACAATGGCACGGAGGACGACTGGAGCGCCGATGGGTCCGCGTCGACGTTGCACGCGCCAACCGTGAAACAATCCCCACTCTCTATCGCCCAGCCAAATGGTCCCTCAGGTCGGGGGATTTGGATGGACCGCAGCACTAGTGAAACTGTCCACTCTCTTTACACTCGTCTCGGGTATCTGCTACGCGAGACAGTGGAACTACATGCCCGTTTGGGCGCCCTACTTCCGCACACTACACCGAGCACTTCGTTTGAATAATACTTTTGCGATACCTTTAATCAGCCTATCTCACTACCTTTTTTCATGACCTGAAAACTTTGTCTCCTCCGTTTCATGTTCCAATCTTCTGTGCACGTCTCAGCCATTCTGCTTACGTCTACCGATGGGTTCGGTTCGTACGATGTTCGTCTTTTACTGTACAGTATTTTTTATGATCTCCACAGCCTTCTCTACTTGCATATGTCTTTCTGCTCATTTTTAGTTTTCCAATAATTTTTAACTTGAGTGTGCTGTACCACCAATAACTCTTGGAGCGCGCAGAGCTCCATAGCTGCCACGTGTAAGTGTTTTGTCCAAGGCAAGCCAACAACGTCATCTGACGTTGCCATTCAAATGTATAAGAGGCTAATCAGTAATACATCCTAAATTCTTCACACGTTCTTGTTATTTGCACTGAGAAGCAACTCATTTAAATGTAGAATTTCAGGAAACGGGTCTGCATGTGCATCCTTCAGACAAGGTGCGAATATATGAGCCAAGATCACTCCGACGCACCCACATAACTTAAAACAGTTAGTTCCCTTCAATAGTTTAAACAACGAAATTAGTTCACGAATATTGGCAGATGCTAACATCTTACATTATCTTGTCGCTACCAATATCATAACTGGGAAATCGTTTTATAAGTGTCATAGGGGCACAGTCAAGCCAATCAAGTTCATGGTTGTGATCACTATTGCTGGCATTAGGACCACGGCAACCGCAGATAGACAACTAGTTGCTGTTGGACACATAAAGCTGGTGTAATTGGGCTTATCGCAACCGCTTCGGCAAATCACAAAAGGCATGAGTTTTTGTGACGCAACCAGATTTGAAACGCCGATAAGGGGATTAGTCCGGTGATGAGTCGCCAAAATGTGCCTGCCTATGGAAGACGCCGGCCACTTACGTGAGCATGTACCGTAGGAGAGCGATTGATTAACTTCGCGCTGAACCCAGTTTGGTAAGTGTTTCTTCATTCTGGAATCCAAAGCCCGGTCGGTTCTGTCGATGTAACTAACGCCGTAGTCACACATGAATTGGTAAACACAATGTGATTTGGCGCCGACGGGTTCATCTTCCTTTAATGAAGATAACGGCAACTTTCGGGTTCTGTTGAAAATTACCTCCTCCGCAGCACAGCACGTACGCTGAATGGCCGAGACTATGCGCTTAGTTGTTCTTCTTGCTACGGTGTCACCTTTTGATGTTAACTTGATGTATACCTTTTCGTTTGGGGCTGTTAGCACTGTTTCTTTAGGCGATCTAATCTGGTTATGTTTATTTATGAATCGCTTTGGGTAGCCATTCTTCATAAGCGTTTTAGTGATTAGCCTGAATTTCCTCAGCCAGGTAGTCTTTGAAGCAGATACCTCTGGCTCGAGTGAACAGTGTTTTCATCAGCGCGCGTTTGTGTGCCATCGGGAGAGAAGCCGGTAGGTATTGGCCGGACTATGTTGGCTTTGGGTATACAGATCGCTTAATGTGTTCATTATCCCTGCAACTCATGAGAATATCAAGTTATGGAAGACGCTCATTCGATTCGAGTTCAGAAGTCACCCAGATAACACTGTTCATCCGCAGTCGGGACGCAAGAACCCAAAGTGCGAACCGAGTACTTTATTATGGCAAATATCATCCACCATACGCTTCTGCTCTGATCACCAGCCGTTTTCTTCACCTTCGAACTCTCTCCTAGGGGTTCAGTGGCGCACACCTTTTCTGTCTCTATTCCTAGTGCACATATATCTGCGGCTGTTAAGCGTTCTTCTTCTGCTGGAGCGTTTATGTGGTCCACTGTTGGCCCGTTACCGTCTGACTCTCTTCATACTTCCATATTACTGACATTTAGGGTAGTAACACCTGCTATAGGCCCACTACACTGACATTGCCCGCACGCAAACATTGAATACACTTTAGTGGGTGCCCATTTGATTTTGTTAGGCAGGCACATATCATGAGACTCGTCGTGTTGTAAGGTGTTCTCTTTTCACTATGCATGAACGACAAGGAACGCCCATGAAAATAAAAGTGGTCCAAAGAGGAAACATTCTCTGAAAGATCTGTCCGAGAAGCAATGGTCCTGCAACTCGCACTGTGGGCGTAGTTACGCTCCATCAGCGGCCTCATCTGCAATGCATGTCCACACGGAGAAGGTTTTACACACACTGCTTCATAGGGTGTCTGCGAGATGAAGCACAGATTGACAACCTTTAAAGTCCTCGCATCTGAGTATCATACCATGCTTGTGAGCCCCGTATAGCCAGAAAGCGCAAAGCAGATATATCTCAGGGACTAAAATTCAAGGGCCGCAGACCCATGTGGATTTCGTGAACATATGCTCGCATGCCAAGGTGGTTGTGTCGACACCCCGCGACTGTATCCACCCCCTAACGGTAGTGAGAACACGAACAACCATGCACAAGGGTGCTTTTACATAGGGGAACCACTTCGTGAAAGCCAACCAGAGTACGGAAAGCATGCGAACAAGTAAAGCAAATAACGACTGAGCAAACAAGGAACCAATGAGGTGCACGCAACGAACGTAAAGTGAGAGTGTTAGCGTCAGATTAGGGCTGCAATCTGAAGGCAAAAACAACTTCAACTAACTAATATGGATGACGAAATGATAGGTCAAAACAAACATCATTGAACTCCTGGAGCAAAACGAAAGGCTGCAGTCACGAACGGTTACTCAAGGATACCTGTATTTTTGTTGCTCTAACAGAGATGACTAGGAATAAGTGAAGTATTTGGGGCTCCTCAAGAACATCCACCACTGCTTTTCGAACGAAACACATTCTGTCATACTTAACAGCCTTCTCGTTCCAAGCACAGTTCAACCGGTCCCCTAACGCGACTGCCACATCAATCACAGTTAAGCGTTAGCCCTTAAACATAGCAACTCTGGCGTACATTGCTCCTAATGAGATTGCGGAATTCACGTAGCTTGATCAAGCCGATTCGCAGTCCGGTTGTGGCGAGAGCATAAGGGCCTGTCACATGTCGATTAATGATCAGTGAATGACGCTGGTTCAAAAGGTATTGATTTTGCATGCGTAGGAGCGCCCAACTACGCTTCTTATGCTATAACCCGCTCCGCGTTATTTGTTGGGTATATTACACTTCTTACGCGTTTTCCTTATGCTCTCTGGTTACGCGCTAACTTACTACGGCTTACGTCATCTTGACATTTGGCGACGGAGGTGGGATGTGTCTGCGCCGAACCTTCCACAAATCTTCTGGTCTTGTTCTATTGAAAAACCGTCTTTGGACTATTGGAATCGATGGCGAAAAACTTTTCTTGTTTATCTGGAGTTACTTCCCATCTTGAATTCAGCAGTGTTCCTTTCGGAGAAACAAAGTAACATTTTTGCGACAATTCCTTGGGTACGAAGGTCAGGGATATTTTGATACCCTTCGTACTGACGAAGTCTGCTCTACTATAACCAGTGTCTTGAATATATTCAGCGCTCTTTGGGAAGTTCACCAAACTGAGGTAACAGCCAGATACTTCTTCTCCAAACTCTTCCAGAAAACATACGAAAGCGTAAACAAATTCATCGTTCGTGTACTCCAAGCGGTACAAAACTGTAAGTACAATGAAATTGATCCAACAAAGTTTGAAGAGACCATATTGCTCCAGTACCTGATTTCTAAGATTTCAGACCAGAATCCCCGGGAGGAAATCTTTTCACAAGATGATCCTTCGCTAGCGTGGGAGACAGTCTGCCTGCTTGTCCGGCAGAGGCGAAACCTTACCCAGCAATTAACAACCTTTACTCTAAAAGACCCATCGGAAGATTTGAGATTGATTCATAGCACTCCAAAATCTAAGACACCTAATAACCTCAGTCCGTTCGTATGATATTGCTGCAGAAAGCGCCATAGTTGTTCTTCGGACTGTCGGCATCAAAAGACGATATGCAGAATTTGCGAGTATTGTAGTGAACATGAAACATTTACGCTTTCAGTATTTTGTGTCATTGGATTTTATTCTTGTTTGTATCTTCCGATCGTCCAGTTGTTTTACTGACGGCACGTCTGGTTCACTTTGGAATTCTCTCGGATTCGCACGCTACCTCGCTGTATGTTCTTGCCAATTTGCTTCTAGTTCATTGCAGCTCTTTACATTGCATCTTGAGCCCGGCTACATACTCACTTCTGAATAATTGGTATCCGTATTGGTTCCTACTGGTTCTCGTCGCAACCAGTACCTGAGTTCCGCTCTACAATTGGTGACCCCGATTGCGAACTTCATCGCAGCCATCTTGTATCCCACACCCCGGTGAGACCAAACCTTGTCGCTTTTGTTTGGTTTTCCGTTTTTCAGCATTTAGCATACTTTTATCATGTCTGATCCGGATGTTAAACTTTCTGGTCCTGATTTCAATGCTGTCACTTTTCCTGTCCAACCGTTTATTAGCAGCGATCCACAGTTTTGGTTTGTATTGTTAGAGCCCGACTTCACCCGCTATAGGATCACCGCTGATTCAACAAAGTGTAGCCACTACTAGCTTGTCTGCCCAGCAGTGTAACCCTGCAACTCAGGGACCTTTTAATGCAGCCTGTTTCTGAGCAACGCTGCGACACTCTTAAGCGGGCCGTCATTAGCAGAAGCACACCATCCGAGCGGATCCGTATTCAGTAGCTATTCCAAGGGCGTTTGGACAAATAAACAGCTCCATATTTCGACAAATGCTCAGTGCGTATGTTCGCTCCATGTCGAATACGCAATTCAAGCCTGGCATCCATGGCTGAAACATGACCTTAATGCACTGGAGCAGCCACAACGCCGGGCATCTAAGAACGTAATTGGAATGCGCAATCTTTCCTACCAGGAGAGGCTGCAACGATTGGGGGTGTTCAGTGGAAGCTATCGCAGACTACGAGGCGATCTGATTATGGCATACTTGATTCTGCGAGACCCACATCATGTGTGTCGCCCTTTACTGCAACTCAGCAGCAATACAAACCTGAGAGGCCACTCATTAAAACTCGCAGAACAATACAGTCGTCTGGAGTGCCGCAGAAATTTTTTTCCATTCGTGTCTGTCACCCATGGAATACTCTCCCAGAATCGGTCGTCTCTTCACCGACACTAACAGTATTTAAAAGACGGTTGGACGATGCACTCATCCACTTACACTTTGTTACTTAACACTACGTCTCCATCCTACACCTGGAGTTTACCATGGAATTATTTGTTGTTAACTGTGGATGCTGTGAATCTAAGAGAATCGCAGGACTGCAGCGAAGCAAACGATAAATCCCTATTTTCATATTTAAAGTATTAACTATTTTACTATCCTTATCATCATTGTTGTTATGTTGATATCCCCTGCAACTATCCAACGGGACTTGTAAAGCAACGCTTCTTAACCCGTATAAATTC